TGGCAATGGCCCAAGAGTATGTAGAGATGAGGCTGACTGTTGGCCAGGGCACCCAGGGCAAAGAAGACACTCAGGGCATGAAGTTTGGCTACTTGTGCTGACTCTCAGGTCCTGTCCCATTATCAGGAACATTCCAGTTAAAGGAGGAAAAGTCACAGCTTTCCAGCAAACTCTATCACATATGATGATGATACCACCTATAAAGTATATAAACTTCTTCTCACTTGATTGATCCCAGGGAACTCCTCAGATAGCCAAGGGGTCTGGAAAAGGAGGGGTCCTTCTCCAGCACCATGGCACCTGGCAGAGGACTGAGGATGGAGGGGCACACTATTCTACAGGGTGCTGCTTCCATGACCCAAGGCATAATGGGTAGCTAGGGACGGACTGCCACAGGCTCAGTGTCTGTGACAACCAGTCTTTGTTTCTAGGAGAGTCCAACATGCAGCCAGCGATCGTACTCTAATGCCTTATGTTAATTTTTGTAATTATTTGAATGAATATTGACCTGGAGGAAAAATTCTTTTATGCGAGCCATCTATAGGAATAGCTAAACAAGCCTATTTGTTTTAAAATTTACATACATATGTATATACATATATATGTACATAATTATATATAAAATATATAAAAATATTTTTAATTATATATATAAAATCTTGACTCCACTTAACTTCTCAAAAAGTGTCAAGATGGCATCCTGACTACTTTAATCAAATAACAAGCTTTCAGGCTTTCTGTGCAGCTTTCCTTCTGGGATACAATACTGTGAGTTTTGCCTCTGCCCCTCCAGCAATCCCACTCTTCCTCCGGTAGGTTTTTCATTAAGAAGCTGAGCAGGGCCACTGTATCACCAACACAGGTCTGCAATTGCCCCCAGCATTAACTTGAAAATTTTACATCAGTGCACCATGAGGGGATGTCTTTGCCTCTTACAATGGAAGTCCCATTTTCTGAGCCCCTCACATTTTCTGAATTCGGTACTTTTACATGTGCTATCCCGTTTATAGGTTTTAATTCTTACAACAGCACTTTAAAACATAAACTGCCCTTGGCTTCTACCAGATGAGGAAACTATAGTTCAACAAGTGACAATAGCTAGTAAATGACCCACGGTTACAGTAAGTCGGGTATAGTAAGGGATTAGACCTAAGTGGGGCTGATTATTACAAAGCGCGGGTTCTTTCTACTACTTGAAATACAATACAATTCTGGCAAGAATTATGCAAAAACACTGAGGCAAAACTCAACAATTCTAACTGGTTAAAAATTAAAATCATAGAGCTAAAAGGGATTTTACTGATGATCGTAGTCTCACCTCTTTCCAGACAGGGAAACTGAAGCAGAGGTATGTTGATCACCTGAGGCCATACAGGTAGGATGGAGGCAGAGCTGGGATTCTGACCTAGACCAAATCCAGTGACTTTCCCACTAGAATACGTCGCCAGTCCCAGAGCTGCCTCACTAACTTCAGACTTAGCCAAGGTAGCATGAATATTAATGATATTGACAAGACATAGCCACAGGTCTGGAGTACAAGTGCGCATTTTGCTGACAGTGCTCTTCCTCACCACCGCCCTGCGTGTAAAATCCATCCAGACAGCTGCTGTAATTTGTTTTGCGACCCCTTGAGGGGCTGTATGTCCTGAGTACAAATCAACAGCCGAGTTGGGTGCAAGAGAGAGCCCTGAGTTTCCTGCTGGGCTCTGCCTTCCACTTCCCTCCTACAGAACTGGGTAACACTTCACTTTTAAGAGGCCATTAATTAGTACTGGATTAAAAGTACAGCTACTTAAGCATGACTTGCCTTACCCACAGGAACACTGTAGGACTCCAGCCAAGTTTATCCTACTGACTGGAATAATGGAGCATCCCTCTGTGGACTATCTCAGGCTGTAGTGCACATTGGGAGTGACCCTTACAATCACTCGGGTAGTGCCTATCCCTGACCTTTGAGGAAGTCCAGGTAAATAGGACACTAGATTTCAAATATCTTAGACAGAAAAAATGGAAATAATTGAAAAAGTAGGCACATTAACATCATTTATCATTATATTACTTTTTTTTTTTCTTTTCCGGGCACTTGGCATAGTGCCTGGCCCAAAGTAGGTACTCAACAAGTATTGAACGACTCATTTCTCCAAAACCATAAATACTATATAATTACGCAGAATGATAAAGGGAAACCAGGACTTAACCCACCTGTAAGTCATTCATTTGCCTTTAGTTTCTCAAATACCTTATTAAAGAACTTACCTAAGAATACCTTTTTATGCAACGTAAGGGAGCTGTGTTAAGAAAACTAAGATTAGTGGACGCCTATCATCATTAGCAAGTCAAGTAAATGACAGCCAATTCAATACCTGAGGATATATATACTCCATGTTAGGTAGCATGCAAATTGTTCACAGCAATTTATTCAATAATAGAAATGTGAAATAGGGAGAGTAGTAATAAAAAGGAACAGGTGGCCCAGGGGGAGGAAATCCCGTAGAAAAGTTCCAATTGGCAAGTAGGGAAGGAACATGAAAGAGGGAAAGTATCATTTGGAGGGCTTGGATAACCTCACACCACTTGTTTGAACAACTCAAGGAAAAGAGGGGAGTACTAGCTACCACTTACTCAGTATGCCCCGTCCTTTCGCATCTCTTATCTCACATCTTAAACCCTTCCTTCGGAAGATCATTTTCATCATTTCCCAGAAGGAGAAAGGTGAAATGCCTGGCCCAGGGCCACACAGAAGACAAGCAACACTAGAGTTTAATGGTTTTCAGAAATTCACAGGAGTTTTGCAAGGGTGCACAGGCTAGGTGAGGGAGCCCATTCTGCAGGCCCATGAACCTGCTTCAACCGGAGAAGCTGGTCTCCGATCTGCTTTACATAATAGACTTGCACTTAAGACTTTATTCGAATCAGGGCACCATTTCTTATAAATAAAAAACACACGATCAACAAAAACTGCTATAATCGAGGAAACTAGTTTCCTGGGGCTGTACGATGTATGTAATGCAGTCAACATGGTAGATAATTGAAAAGTGATTGCACTAAGCACAGCCTAAAATATTCACATTGAAGAAATAAAAACATTCGGACAACACTTATGTCCCTTTTGGGTCAGCGGAGGCTGCTGTAGTCGAGGACCGAGGCACGAGTGTGGCTCAACAGTGGGTAGCCCTAAATGCGGAATACCCGTAGCGATTGAAGGCGCGGTCTTCCAAAAGCATCGGCTAGAAGGATTCCGGCCCCTTGACGTCAAGCCAGTCCACAATAAACATTTCTGTGTTGCAAACTCTGCGGCAGAAGCCTCGACCAATGTTATTACCTTAGCAAGCCCCCCACTGACAGCAAGGACAGATCCCCGATGCCAGGTGCTATCACAGATAAAGTGGCTCTAATAACTAGTGTTATTCTTTGTGATGCACTTTTAATTGGATCAATTTCCCCTCAATTATACAATCCTCGGAAACCAGATGATGAAACCAATTTCATCTTCAGAACATGGGGCTTTCTCCAGGTAAAAAGTGCAAGATAAACTAGTTGGACCTCACACCAATTGTTGCCCTTCCTATTCTTTGGCAGATATTACAAGAAGCCAAAAAAAAAAAACCAGTGTCACCACTGAAAAACAAAACAATTCTGAGTAGCCCAGCTGAGCAGATTTTGTTTCTTTTAAAAAGCAAGGTGAAAGTTCTTTGGCTTGCCATCCGCCCGGCACCTAAGGAACAAACTATGTTGCTTAGTAAAACTAAAGCTGGAGGATCCTTGTCACATTCCCTCGCCCACTTCTGGTCTTTTTAAAAGGACAAGACTTCTTCCTTTTTTGAGCTCTGATTACAAGGATAAAGCAAATGGTAGAGGCTCAATTCCTAACACAGGGTTGGTGATTCTACATAGACCTTGGGGGCTAAAGCTGTACACGTATGTGGAAGTAAGATTTGGATTTCTTTACATAATGGTGGCTTAGGCTGAATTTTGACTGGGGTAGGTCCTTAATGATCTCAAAGAATTCAGTGTCACATATGGCAGCAAAACAGCAATAGTACAACTTACCCTTCTCATCTCCCAAATCCTGTATTTAATTAAAAGACATGAACACCAGCAATGAAGAAACAGTTATCAATTATTTAATTCTGATAGAGGAATGGAAATAAATCTCAAAACCAAATATTGTGCAGTCACTTGAGGAAAATACAGAATAAAGACCAAACAGTTGTCTGATGAAAATGAGATGTGTCCACCTCCCCGTTTGTTGACTCTGGCGCGTGCTGTACGCTTTTGCAGTCCACTCTTAGCACAGGTCCGTGGAGAGAGGTATTATGAAAAATGACACGCTCTAGAGACTACTCAAAACTGTTTACTGACTACGTTAGCATTTGTGTTTGTTTACTCCCATCTTTCTGTGCTTTGAAATAATTCCAATCTATACGATCCTATAAAAGGCAAGCGATTTCCAGGCTGAAGTCTTCAACACCAACCAGCTAGGGTTCGATCCATTCTCTGTCACATCTGCAATTAGAGACCAGTCCAAGATGGCAGAAAACCCCCAGAACCAAGAGGTGCTGCTTCCCAAAAGGAATGTCTATCTCCCTTGGTGGCACTAAATGAATGAACTTTCACTCTGGTAAAGGTGAAGAGACCTGAGACATCATGCCACAGGGACATGACGTCTGAAATGAAAGATGGAGCAGATCCCACTGAAACATGCATACTAAATGCAGCAGAAATGAAGAGAAAGTGTCACATAGGAAGCACATTACAATAAGAGGGAAATACGGGACCAGGGTTATCAAAGCCAAAAGAGGGAAATCAACAAGGATTCAGTACAAGGGCAAATTTCAAATACAGGGGGCAAAAGGCTTTCTACTAAAGCCTCAGGAGTGCCTAAGTTCTAATCAAACTTCAGCTAACCCCATATCAGATGTCCTATTTGGGGCAGTACATCTGTTAAAGCTCTAAATTTGGGAGGGAAATAATGCAAAAAATGAAACAAAACAAAACAAAAAACAACAACAAAAAAAACCCCACTAAAATACAGCTTCTAAAATTCTAGGACTAGCCAGCTGGCATAGAAACACAAGCCAAGTGCACTCGACAATACCAGCGCTAACCAAGGAAGAAGGGAGAGGAAAGTGGCTGGGAAGCGGAAGAAACCGTCTCTCCCCTCCCCTACGGGGTGGAGTATCTTCTCAGGTGGTAGCTGTAGATCTTGATGCAGTGGTCCCAGCAGTCCAAGACCAACAGCTGCCCTTTCGGGGTGAGGGCGATGCCCACCGGACACGTGAGCCCCTCTCGAATAAGGACACTATAGCCCCCACCCTTAGGGAAGTGGAGAATTTCCTTCCGACTGCTGTCGGCCACGATGAGATCGCCACGAGCATCCACACACATGCCGGCAATGCAGCGGAAATCCTCATTCTCCGAGAAAAAGTGGCTAATCTGGCGACCCAGCTGCCCATCGGGGCCCACCGAGCCAATGGAGAAGCCACCCTCCAGGTGGTGCTCATGCTGCCTATTCTCGAGATTGAGGCCCAAGCCCTGGGTGAAGTAGACGGTGCCCTCAGCATCACAGGTGACAAACTTGGGCCGCACGGCACTGCAGAGGCAGCTGTATTTGACCACCCCTGCTCCGCGGTCAACAGTGAAGCACCAGAGCTTTCCACCTTCCACATCAGTGACCACAAACTGGCCAGACGGAAGGGCTGTGATGCCCCAGGGTTTGCTGAGCTGGCTCCTGTGACAGGCCACGCAGTGACCGTCCAAGGTGTATACCTTGAGGGAGTTGTCGTAGCTGTCAGTCACACCGATGAGCCCATGGCAGTTCATGGCCACGGAGAGGGGAGTGAGATTGGGCAGATCAGCCCCGAGGAAGCTCAGCACGAAGCTGTCAATGCCGCTAGGGCTGCGGCGGATCTCCTTCAAGAAGCCTTTCCGAGTGAAGACTTGTATACGGTAGTTGCCTCGGTCAGCGACCAGCACTTCGCCTTGACTCGTCACGTAGAGACTGACTGGAAGGTTGAACATGCCTGGCGTGCTGCCTTTGGCCCCCATCTTCTTGAGAAAGAGGCACTGCTGGATATTGGCAGTGGTCTCGGAACCCCGCTGCTTAGCAGGCGAGGCCCTAGGGCTGGCGACCACTTCCTCGGGGCTCATGTCCATCTCTCTAAATGTAACGGAGGTGGAGGCGGCAGAGGCTGCTGCCTCCATGGCCCAGGAATCTTCCATGTTGACTGTCCGGGGCTTTTTAACCGCCTGCCCGATTTGGAGGGGACCGACATGGCCAACCTTGAGAAGCTCCACATCCTGCAGGGTTAGCTCCCGGGGCAGGCTGGCCGTGAGCTCCGGCTCCTCCTCGTCCGCTGTCTCTTCCAGGAGCGCTACATCTGCCTGCTTGATCTTGGCCAGGAAGTAGTCACAGCGAGACACAGCCTGCACCTCTGCAATGTTAAGCAGGTAGCTCTGCTCCTCGACCACCTGACTGTTGGCCTTCTCAACCTCAGCCAAAGAGCCCGTGAAGAACTTCCGGGAGCGAGCCAGCTCCTCCTGGACCCTGCGTTCCTCATGGCCGTACTCCTGGAGAACCGCTTTATACCGTGCTTGAAGGTCCTTGGAGACCCCTTCCAAGGCCACCTTCCGGCGTTGCAGCTCCCCCATGAGCTCCCGCAGGCGGGCCAGCTTCTCTCCAAAGTCCTGACGCCGCTCCTCAGCTGCTTCTTTGACGGGAAGCGTGCAGTGGCCGGGGGGCTGGTGATCCGCCTCCCGGCAGGGCTCGCACAACACCACGCCGCAGCTCCGGCAGAACTGCCGGGGCAGCCGCCGGCCACAGGACCGGCACATGAGCAGCCCCACAGCCTCGCTGAGCCCGGCTGTGTCAATGATCTTCAGCACCGTCAGGTTGTCCGTCAGCTGGGTGAGGCTGGTTATGCGGGTAATCTTGCTGCAGAAAGGACAGCGGACACCGTTGATGCTACTGGCCAGGAGCTTCTCCAGGCACTGGCGGCAGATGGTATGGCCACAGTGCAGGAGCTTGGGCCGCAGCTGCTCCTCTGTGAAGGACTCCATGCAGATGGGGCATTCCAGCACTTCCCGGAGGGCGTCCAGGTTGAGGTGAGAAGCTGCTGCTGCTGCAGTGGCCATCGTGCTTCCCTTGAGGGGCCTGCTAATACAGTCCAGAACCCACCAGCTTGGCATTCATGCTCCAGAGGGTCAAATCCTGCTAATGAGAATAAGAAGCGTTTACTCCACTGCCTGTACGAGCTAATTCACTCAAGAAACATGAAGAGAATAGCTACCATCATTCATTCAGCTGCTGACTTATTTAACAAGTGTTTAGTCCACTCCATTAGATGATGGTGATACACAAGGAAGTAAAGCAGACAAAGCATTGCATAGTGAGTAAGGAATCAGGGTCTGGAGTCTCCGGTATTTAGTTGTGTGACCTTAAGGAAGTAACCTAAACTTCCCAAAGGTCAGCTTCCCATCACCCGTCCATACAATCGAAGTGATAATGGTGTCTGTTTAGTTTTCAGAAGGGTTCAATACCATGATGAATGAGCTGCACCTTGTCAGCCCACGGCAAGCAGGATGCTTGATGAATGTTAGCGATCAGTGACGTCAACGACTCAATTTATACTGGGAAAAAAGCACAGGAAAATTACATACAGGAAAGGATTATACACAAGTTCTCTGGGAGCACAGTTCCTATAGCAACTGGGGAGGGCTCCCCAGGTGCAGGGACACTTCTGAGATAGGTCTGGAAAGAAACACGGCCTTGAAGGACAAAGGCATTTTAAGCAAAGAAAACTATGTGAACTAAAACACAGAGCCTCTTTCATTATGTTATAGAGAGTTTATGGTGCCGTGTTTGGGGTTCGAGGAAGCACACATGGGAACAGAAAATTATGATGATTAGCTTTAGGTGATCCGTAAAACAATAGGAAGGGAATACATGTATTTTTCATTCATCTATAGTCCCATCTACTTTACTGTACTAAGTTCTCAGGACACAGATCCTGCCCTTCAGATGCTCTAAGTTTAGTAAAGGACATTAGACATGTAGGTAAATAATAACCAAGGCAGAAAACAGTATCATAAATAAGATACAAACTCAATTTGATGGAGGCTAAGAGGCATTCACTCTAATTTGAAGGGAAACAGAACGGTATTGGATAGGGTCCTGGATACGTGGAGATGAGGGAAAGGGAGTACCAAACAAGGACAGTCTTACCAAAGGTTAGAGAGAAGAGAAAGAGGAAGAAGTTCAGTGCATTAGAAAGAGAACAGGGAACATGTAACCTCTATAGGTTTGTTTCCAAAGAAAATGAAATCATACTGCCTTCACAAGGTGAATGCGAGGATTAAATGAGATAATACAGGGAGTGTATAAACTTCCAAGTTTTGGCTCAGCACCAAAAAAGTCTCGGGTAAATTTTAGTTCTCTTTTCTGTCATTCTTAGGTTAAAATTGTGGGAGAATATAGTGAGACCAGAGTTATCTGGTTTGATTATGAGAATGATGATAAGAAGTCTTCAGAGCCGAAATGAGACCTTCAGATTTCATTCTGATGGGCGTAGTGAAGCAACACATGTTTTCAAGCATGGAAGTGATAACGATCAAAGCTTGAATGGAGTAGGTGAAAAGGCTGAGAAACTAGTTTGGAAAACTGCTGTAAAATTGCTTGGGGGAGGTAATGGGGAGCCTGAACTAGGGAGCAGGTGGTGGCAGTGGAAAGATGCACTTGAGCAAGATTAAGAAGTGCAATCACCAAGATGAGTCGATGAAAGAGGGGGAAGTGGTGCAGCTAAGAAAGCCAGAGACTCAAGCCTGATGATTTAAAAAAGAGTACTGCCTTATCAAGACAGTTTATTTTTGGCCTGGAACACCCCCCTACTTCACCAAGTACAAGCCATAAATACTCCCACCTACCTTGATCCACATATGCTCATGAAATAGAACAGAGATCTCAGTGCTCTGCAGATTTATGTCAGTGTCAATTTATACCCCAAATTAGAATGAACAGATCTAGCAAGGTGAGGCACGGGGACCAAGTGCAGCCCTTCTCAAATGCAAATTCTACAGCTGTGTCCTTGCAGACTCCTGATAATGCAGACGGTTAGCCATCAAGGAGAAGAGGAGGGCAAGTTAGCCTGGTTTAAGGATAATGCAGCAAGGTGAGAAAAGCTTTGCAAATGTCGTCAACTTCTTTCTCCATGCATACAGAAGACGGGAAGTCTGTGCAGAGATACATATTATGGAATCTCCCCATACTTACTCTGCACGGTGACCTGACAAATATTCAATAGCAGACACACATAATTTATCCCAAGTCAATCCCACCTCTCTGAAATATGACTTAGCTTACACCAGAAGGGAACAGTAACCATCTAGTACCTTCCATGTGCTGGATACTGCACTAGATGATTTCTATACTTAATCTCACTGAATCCTCCTAATGACCCCACAAAGCAGGTACTATTTTTATTATTTTATGATAAGGAAACAAAGGCTCAAAACAAGTGATTCAAGGTCACAAAGCTCAAACATGCTGAAACCCTGTAGTACAGATATCTTTAACTTTGTTTAACCCAGAATTACTTTGAGTTTTAGGGCTTTTCCCCCACAGTCACGTAACACTTGTTGACAAGTGTTCCCTAGACCATTCTTTGGGAGATGCTGCCTTGTAGAATATCAGTTTCTCCACAAAAACGAACAATACTACTGTTATGAGATTTAGCCCCAGTGGAGCCGTTGGCTACTCTGATTTATTAGCTGGGTGACCCACTCGCACACACCAACCTTGGAACCCATTATGACTCAAATTCATGTCTCAACAAAATAACACACCATCAAATACCATGAACCTATAGGGTCTCGTGTGAATATGTGAAACTTACTACTGAATTCTTGGAAGCCATAGGTCTGGGCACAGTCCTACAGAAATACTGATGAAAACCTGAACTCAAAATCCAGGCAAACCTTAGTTCTAAACCAACAGCTTCAGCTCCTTCTTCTATCATCTGGCACAACAGACTGAGAGCAACATTTGGTGTTTAGATCCAGAGTGTGCTACCTTCCAATGCAAGGGACATCTGTTCTTCCCAAAGCTGGCCCTGCAGATCAGCTAATTAGACAAGTCTGCCAACTTGTAAAAATACTAGCAAATTCTTTCCCCCGCTTTCTGGAATATCATACCACCTCCTTCAATTAAAAAGCTTCCTGCCTCCTCGTCTAAGCTATCTACTTTAAAAAATGAATTTACTATGCCCACATCCATATCCCAAATTATCTCCGCTATCTGCAGCTTCGCTAGGCCCCCTAAGGCAGAAGAGAATGTCAAGGATTCCTACTCTAAAGCCAGCGTGCTCTGCCAGGGAAACATGAGTTCTCATCACTAAAGCATCAGGTAAACGGCCTCAAACTTGGGAGAGGCCTGAACTATGTCTCCCCTGTCTATGACCCATAAACACCGCCTTCAGCAGGATCCCAGCCTGATACAGAACCATATGACAGGCAGATACATTCCCTCTCCTCAAGAAACACACATCTAGCCATTACTGTTAATACTAACAATGATTCAGATGGCACGTCAATTCGAACTCCGTTTCCCTCAAAGGACCAGAGGGTGACAAGAATTGTCTTACCATTGCAAGTCTCTCCATTAGCCACGCATTTTCTGTCAGCTATAAATTCTAAAACCAATCAGAATGAACCCTCAACATGTTATAATAATCTTGTCTGCCTTCATGACACCTTAAAGATGTTTCCTGTTGCGTACTCTGTACCATCAATTCTTGACCCCTCACCTCACTGCTCTGATCTCATGATTAATACCGCACTTCCCCTACCAATACTTGCCCAGCTCTTCCGCTCCAGATAAGAATCTACCCCTCAAGTTGTGTTTACTTCAGCTGCTCTAAGACTCAGGAATATTCTATAGTCACTACCTAACCCGATCTAGCCTCTGCTGGCCCCACCATGCTTTCCCCCGTCCATGATTTAAATAACCAGGAGAGCAGAAAAAAATAAAAACCAAAACCCCGTGAACCCTGAAGTCAGGCAGAACTGGGATTAAATCAGCACAGCCATTTACAAGTTGTGGGACAACAGGAAAGTTATTTAACCTCACTAAACCTATCTTCTTACTTTATAAAAAGCAAGAAACTAGGGATAATGCAAATCAAGTGCCTAGTCTGGAAAATAGCAGGTGTGAACTTTAAAATGGTTAATCATAATTTTAATAAAATCAGCAACAGTATTAACAGCAACAACTAGTACTAGTATTAACAAAGCATCCAGTTTACAAACTACATTTTCAAAGGGATGAAGAATCTTTCTTTTCATGGCAGATAAAAGCACATAAAGATTAATAAAAGGACTGGCCAGCTTTGAAAGAATTTGATCGAGAACACTAGGCATCCATGCTAGAAACTGATGCACAAAGGAATTCACAACTTCTCTTGCCCAGAAAATAAGCTCCTTCTAGCAGGGACTAAATATGGAATGCTAGAATTCGTAGTGATCTCAGAGAGTAGAGTAGATGAGTAAATGGAGATCAGAAGAGAGCTATCAAGAACTCATTAATCATACGGCTAGAACGAGGACTAAAAGGTCACTGGCCGTGACCAGTATTATACAGATTAAGAAAGCGGGTTCAGCAATCAAGCTTTTTGGATTTCAGTCCTGGCTCTACTGCTTACTGTGGAGACTGGGACAAGTTAACCAACCTCTCTGGTTCTCAGAAGGGCTTTAAAATAGTATCTTCCTTACAAGGTTACTGTAAAGGTTTAAGTGGGATTATGTGTATAATGCACTTAGTACAGCACCAAGGGAGGCATACAGTTAACTGTGCTGTATACAATATGTAGCGGCAGCCACTACCCAGCCAAAGAGAAAAACCAGCACTTTTCAACAGGCATAGTGTACCCAAGATATCAGATATGTAAATTTCAAATATAAAAATTCTGAGCCTTCACTAGAGAGTTTTACCTGATCTCAGAATCTAAAGATTAGAGATGACCAAAGGTTATCATCTTGAGGGCTTAGGCCATCAGCAGAACTGAAGAACTTTAAGCAATTAATCATACAAACCTTTACTGACCACATACTACCAGTCCAGCTCCATAAAACACTATGCATATAATTTTCAACAAAACCAAACACAAACAGAGCTCTTTACCTAAAAAACTAGAAAACATGTAAAACAGTACTACATTTCCTTTCCTAGTCCATCCCACCACATCTTGACTGGGGTTTTACAAGGCTTATAACATTCCCTTTCTAAACTCTATTTATTCTTCTTGCACTTGAATGGAATGCTAACCAAGTGCATAACCATCTCCCCAGTGGAGCGGCTGGCAGGAGTGACTTTAACAAAGTCTGAGAGGCCCCCACTTGACACTCACCTAGTTCTGTTGTGTGGAAGAGAGTTTGGAGTTTAATTTTACTCAGGGCATTTAAGGTTACCTGCAAACAGTTAAGTAAAACTCAAGTAGGAGCTTGTAGGGAAACACAGGCATAACCGACAGAGCTGTGTATCGGTCTGAGACAAACAAAACAACCCAGAAGGAAGAGTTTGTGGAAAAGGAAACCCGAGTTACAATATGTCAAAGACAGGTTAAATCAGTACTAGTTTGCTGGAAAGACACTTGCCAGTCTCTTCTTCTAAAACTGCAGGAGCTAGAAAGGTTCCCTTGCATCTTCCACACACACTTAGGTAATATCAATGCTACCAATGTGACTCAGAGAATCTAGGACAAGGGGAAAAACAGTCCTTTCTCAGAGGACCTCCAACTCATCTCCACCTGCCCACCTGTCTTCCAGTTCTTTCATCTGCATACAACACATGCTCACTTAATAATGAGCTTTTAATGAAAGGATCAGGAAGCAGATCCTGGGAAAGGTACAAGAGGGGATGGGAATTTGGGACAGACTGGTGGGAGCTGCTTAAGCTCACTGAAATTTGGCAAAACAACCTTCAGTTTCCTTCTAGCAATGTCTTCCTCTTATAATTACCACCTCTTAAAAAACAACCATTTATTGAATGTCAGGTACCTTGTATTCTCATAATTACCTTGTGAAATATGTGTTATTCCTCTTTATAAATAAGGAAACCAAGGTTCAGAGAAAAGGAACCTAAGGTCTCAAAGCTGGTAGGTAGTGGAAACTGAGGTTCAAATCCAGGCGTGTCAACTCGCAGTCATAAAACCACACTGACTCAAAAAATCTGTTACTCTTCCGTAGCTGATGAGGCTCCTGTTAGCTCTAGACAGTTTGGCTGAGAGGTTAGTAAAGGTACCTAGGAATGAGTTTCCAATCAAATTATTTGTTATATCAGAAGGAAAAAAAATAAAGGGAGTGTCACAGAGGAAGCACATCAGTGTGCTCGGACAGTGATCTACTTGAAGGGCTTTGTAAACTTGACTACCAAACTCTCCAGACATAGGTGTATGGGCTTTAAGTGTTGGAAAAGCCTTTCTAATAAAACTAGTATAATGCTGTGGAGGAGTCAGACATAACTGAGCTCACATCCCCACTTTGCCCCTTGCTGTGTAGTCTTGAGTAAAGCATTTAATCTGTTAGTTTTCTCATCTGCAAAATATGGAATATCTACATTGTTGGCAGGATCACTCGCAGGATTAATAGTTATTGCACATAATAAACAATAAATGGTTATTCTTATTTTTAATAGATTGAGGCTGATAAGAAGTGTCTGTCCAAGGTCACCTGGTAAATGAGCAGCAGAGGAGGGATTTTAGACTTCAAGCCTTTTGAGTCCCAGGGTGATTCAACTGCTATTACATATTTTCCATAGTGGTGTGTTTGGATGTCCCAGCTAAATCTCCTGCCTTCTGATGCAGCCCTACTATGTTTCTGAACTGGCTTCAGCAGTGCTACAGCTAGTCCTGGAGCAGACAGAGCAAACGCTGTTCTGTCCCAGGGGAAAGAAGCCCAAGAGATCATTCAGAAGCAGAAGTTATCTTCCAGAGGACGAGAACCTTCAGCTTCAGTCCCCCTATGAAGTGTTTTTTCAACCAATGGCCTCTACACCTACCCTTTAGTCTCCAGCACCTCATCCTAACCTCAAGCTCCTCCCCTTATCTACCTACTGGTCCTGGTCTAAGAGCAAATCACGAACAAAGTCCGGGGTTACTCCCTACGTAATGAGATAGTTTTGTCCCGTTTAGAGTTCAGATCGATAGTCAGTGATACTCACTGGGCAGTCCTTTCACTGAAGGAATGCACTGAGATAGTAAGACCAAGCAGACCCCAGCCAGGGGGGCGGGGAGAAAGAGGGAATCTACAGGGTTACAGAGATCTAAATATGAGCCCGGCTCTGCCATTCCTAGCTAAACAAGTCAATTCCCAAGACTGAGTTTCCTTATGTATAAAACTGGGTATAGCAGAGCCTGCTTAGTAGTGTTGTGATAAAATTAAAATTACTAAAATGGGAGTGCTGTGCACCAGACACTAAGCACCGTGATTTACTTCACCGAATCTTCGTAATAATCTACGACGTAGTCTTGTTATTAATACTTTATAGATGAAGGGCCAAGAACAGGTTAAGTAACTCACTTAAGATCACAAAGCCAAGTAGAGATAGAGGCAGGATTGGAATCCTGGAGTAGAGTTCCTCAGCTTTGGAACTACTGACAGTTTGGGTCAGATAATTCTTTGTTCTGAGGGGCTGTCCAGTGCACTGTAGAATGCTCAACAGCATCCTTGGTATATGTCTCCTAGAGGCCAGTAATCCCTGATACCCCGACTGTAACAGCCGAAAATGTCTCCCGACATTGCCAAATGTCTCCTGGGGGACACCACCTCCCTAATTAGGAGTCATCACTTTAGAACTTGCACAGGACTAAATACTCAATGTTCCCCTTTTCTTGTCTCTCTCTCCCAGACCAAACACTTCACTCACAGAGCCACTGCCTCTTGAGCTGCTGGGCTATAACTAACCTTATATAGGATTAATTCAATCTACTTATATAACTGGTAACGAAAACAAGGCCTGAGATCGTGTTCTACTCATCCCCTGAAGGTCTCACATACTATCTGCTGTCACAGCTTGGAGGGATAGCCAACAGGATACTTAGGCAGATGACCTTGAATAGTTTCCTGTTTTATGGCTTTTTAACCATTCTTTTTTCTCCTACCAAGCCTACAACTTTCAGAAGGCCTAGGGTTTACAGTGAGTGGCAGTGCCATGGCTGCTTTGTGATAAGTGATCTCTGGTTAGGGAGGGAGGCGGATGCCGCCCCTAACAGGGAAAGTCAGGCTCTGATCTCTGAAGACTTCTGACTTTGCCTCTGAAACCCTGAACTCTCCCTAAACTTCATACACTGAAATCCAGGGCATGCATTATCTCTAGGTCCTTAGGGCTCTAGCACTTCCTTTGCTTCCTATGCAGACTTCAGGAATATCATCTCCACCCTACCCCGCAACCCCCCTAAATTGTGTTCCCAACCCTTTTAATAATAGAGAATTCAGCCTTTTGGGCTCTCCATTGCAGCCCTCACCAATTCTTCACCCATTCAGATCCCTGGCATAGCTCCTTTTATGTCTGGTTCCAAACCTCTGCAGCCTTCAGCCCTGCATCCCAGCATGACACCCCAATTACACAGCTCAGACTTCTGCCCTCCAATCTGAGCCCCTAACTCCTGCATTCCATCAGGCAAGATGCCGTCCTCGAACCTGGGTCCTTTCCCTTTTATCCACCCCATGTCATGGGTTGCCTTCAAACCTGAGCCAGGCCCCCTCTTGCTAAGAGGACACTGCCTCGCACTGACTCCCCCATGAACTCACCCCCTCAATTTTCTCCAGATCCCATCTGGAAGATGCTTCCTCCTTAGCAAGAAGAATATCCTCAGGCCCTGCTCTCTCATCTCAGGTTTTGCCCCTCAAACGCCTAGTGGCCCCAGAGTCCCTCAAACCTCCCGAGATGCGGCACCCCAAGTCTCATCAGGCCCTCCAATTCCTTCCTGTTTCCCAAATTCTGCACCCCCAGATGTCTCCAGGGCCTTCGGACGCCCTCCCACCGTCCGGATGCTGCACCCTCTCTCCTCAGGGCCCCCACATTACCTCAGGCCTCCCGAGATGCTGCACCGCGGATTTTGTGGGAGCCCCTCTCTCCCCTCCCGGCAGAGCTGCATCTCCTTTGAGCTCCTCTGCCCCATCGAATCCCTCCCGAGCCTGCTTCTCGCAGCCCCACCCCCACCCCGGTCCTACCCCTCAGATCCGGTCCCCAAACCCTGCCAGCCGAGCGTGGGCCGCGCCAGCGCAGCCCCCCGCCCTGCCACTCAGTCACCGCCCGAGACTCCGGCCGCGGTCCCTGGTCCCGGACCCTCCTTCCCGCCCCTTACCTGACCGCCCGCGGCTTCGACGCGTCCACCGCCGCCAGCCCACCCGCCCGCCGCCCTCTGCGCACGCGCCACCGCGCGCCCCTTGGCGGGCGCTAATTCGTAGAGCCGTCTGTCCGTCACTGCGCCCCGCCCCGAAGGCATGCTGGGGTTTGTAGTCTCGCGGGCCGGAGCGTTCGCGGCCCAGCGGCTGTGTAGGGGCGGGCTCCCACTGGGAACCTCCGGGCCTTTGGAACGCGGCCTGCAGCTTTATGTCCCCACTCTGCAGACTGGGAAACCGAGGCAAAAGCAGCCTGCCCAAGTTCCCTCAGAGTCCGGGGCCAAATCTGATCTCCTGTGTCTGACTGCAGATACCCGCTTCGTTAACCCTTCACGTCCAGCAGCAGGCCAGGGGAGCCTTGGCTCCGGCAGAAGGGTCTCCGAGAAACGCAGCTTGCGCATGTGAGGAGTGGCCAGGGAAAGAACCCCCGCCCGCCGCTCGCCACATGCCACCCAGGGGGCAGGCGCAGAGCCTGGACTCGCCTAGAAAGGCAGTTCCTCTGGTTCCAAGTTGCTTCCTGGGACGCTCCGCAGCCTAGACGCCCGAGGTGGACTCAGCCCCCCAGCGAGGAGTCTTTTCCCTGCATCGCTGGAGGCCGCAGGAGAGCTAAATAGGGGAACGCGCTCTGCACCTGCTGCCCCTGCTGTCTCTGCAGAGCGAAGCTCCGCTAGAACCCAAACCCAAGCCTTCAGCCCTCGGGGGCGCCCAAGTGCAACCAAGAGCGGGAGGTCAGGCCTATCTATGGCTGCTGAGCACCTGTGTAGTTCCAGGCCTGGCAGAGTACCTGCTCCTGTAGCTGACTGCGTGGCACAGCGTAGGAGCAGGGCGGGGGTGGCGTGGCGTGGGCACAAACTGCAAATCCCATTTAGGTTTGTGACCCTGCACAAGCATAGCACAATGAACAGAAACAAGAACAAAACTACCCTCTTTGAGCACTTAGTGTCTGGCTGGGGCTAAGCACCTCCCATGCATAACTCCTTAATTCTCACCACCACCCTATTTAGATAAGCAACTGACACACCCCGCTTCAACAGCAAAGCCACGTGTTCAGTAGTCTAAAGCCCAGCCCCCGGGGACCCAAGGCTGGATGAGAATCCACCCTGATTATCTTGTTTAGCCTCTACGCCGCCCATTTCTTTATTTCTAAACAGAGATAACGTTTGTTTGCTATGATGATTAGCTAAGATTATGAGTACATAGTGGTTTGCACTTAATTAACGCTAATTTAAAAAAGAATTGTAATTAGCTCTTATCACTCTTGAAATTGCCAATTTCTGAAGCCCTAGCCCCCACCCTTTCTGATAATGAGGTCAATGGGAGCTTGGGTCGGTATACTTACGGCATAATTTGAACAGACCTGGGGGCTCCGGACGCCTGATAGAACTCTGGAGCTATTTAGACCTCAAGGATACATTTGTAGTCCATGGCCAGCCAGGGTTTGACCTGACTGACCAGGAATAAGTTGAATCAGGAGTGGGCTGAAGAGAGAGCCCAGCTGAGGACTGAAGGGCCTTGGGGCAGAATTTTGCTCAAAACTGGCAGCGGGCTAGTGGTTGCAAACAAAACCCTTTAGGGCCAAGGGAGGAGGAATGCTGTGCCAAGCACGCAACAGTTGCTGAGTAAGAAAGTCAGACTCAGAAATGTGACTTTAAGCAGATTGCATTTTTTGTCTGACTTATGCTTATTCTAGCTGCAAGATGACTCAGAGGGGTCAGCTGGGTAAGAGGGGACCGTTTTTTGAACACCAGCAATATACCAGGCACTTCGTAGATAGTCCCCTCAGCAATGATTCAAGTAGATACCAGTAGCTTCCTCTTACAAAGAGGCATCTGAGACCCAGCAAGATTAACTAGCTTGTCTACCTTAGCCTCCTAGTAAGTGGTAGGGCTGAGGTACCTAGGCCAGTTACACCCATGGACATGCTCTGAACCACCATCCAAAGACTACTCCCATTTTATGACCCCAGATGTCTTTTCACTTTATTGGGTGAAGTATGTTTATAAGGATCAAAAGAGGAGGAGAGATGACAATGCTTAAGAAGTCAAGGAATATGGGGTAAATCCTGGCTGTCATTATGACCACCGAGTGTGATACTGTCAAGCCAAAGACACACAAACAAGCTCTCCTGGGCAGCCTTGCTAGGGAACAGCAGGAGTTGCCTTCTCTCCTGAGTTTCTGCCACGTTGGAAAGTCTGAGTGGCCTGTTTCACCAGAATGGCAAGAAACCTTCCTGGTTAGGGACCTGGGGTACTTCTACCAGTCCCTGTGTTGCAGGCTGGGGAGATGGGAGAATTGCTGTCAGATAGCTTCTTCCCAAACTTGAGACCTCACCTAGACCCTCCTCTCAGACTAGACGGGTAGTTACCACTCTGTTTGCTGAAAAACACAGTTCCTGGCTCCCAAAATCTCAATTCAGAACTCATCATATTTTTATACCCATGTTTCCCCACTCAGAGAGAAGCCTAGTGGTACTCCTCTGACAGTCTGGGGATATCGAACAAGCAGTCTTTAAAGAACAATAACGACAATGAAAAACCCTTTTTTTCTCTTCTTAAAAAAATCTGTTTGTTTGACTGTCCTTTTTTTTAATGTTTAAATTACTTACCAGTTAAATTAATTACCACTCTTCCCACAAAAATCTCAGAGTAAAATAAATACCCTGGGAAAAGGCACTCATTTTAATTCTGTGGCTTTGCATACTCTGGCACAATATTAGCATTCCTCATACACAGAACATTTTTAAAATACTCTTTGTGGAGTACTTGAAATACTCTTTATTCAGCATTTTAACTAACCTTTTATTCATTTAACTTTTAAACTACCTGTATCAGTTTCCTAGGGCTGTCATAACAAAGTATCAGAAACTAGGTGCTTAACACAGGAGAAATTTATTCTTTCACAGTTCTGGAGGCTAGAAATCTGAGATCAAGGTGTCAGTGGAAGCAGGCTTTCTATGAAGTCTCAAAGGGATGCTCTTTCCTTTCCTCTTCCAGCTTCTGGTGGCCACAGGCATCCCTTGGCTTGCAGTAGCATAACTGCAATAACTCTGCCTCCATCTTTTGTGGTCAGTTTCCCTCTTTGTATCTCCATCTTCACATGCCATTCTCCTCAATGGATGTGTCTGTGTAAGGGCAACAGTCAGATTAAGTGTGACCACCATCTTAGCTAATTAAAACTGCAGTGTGGGGGCACCTGGGTGGCTCAGTGGGTTAAAGCCTCTGCCTTCAGCTCAGGTCATGATCCCGGGGTCCTGGGATCGAGCCCCGCATCGGGCTCTCTGCTCAGCGGGAAGCTTGCTTCCTCCTCTCTCTCTCTCTCTGCCTACTTGTGATCTCTGTCTGTCACATAAATAAAAAATCTTAAAAAAAAAAAAACAACTGCAGTGTGACCTCATCTTAACTAATTACATCTGTAATAACACTATTTCCAAATAAAGCCACATTCTGGTGTACAGGATATCAGCCTGTCTCTTTGGGGGGGCATAGTTGAGCTGGTAGCATCACCCTTTGAGATTAGCACTATTTTCTCCATTTGCTAATATTTCTAGTTTAACCTCTCTTTTATTTTCTTAAAGATGAAAATAACAATAGCTAACTCACAGGATTTGGGGGGGGTTGTGGCAAAATAAGAAATATTGGATGTTAAACATTTACATTTTAGGATGTTGCTTGACATGTAGTAATGTTCATTTCAGTGCACTTACTATTATTATTATTATTAAGATAGTTTGCTTGTTAAGTCCACCACTGTGTGGTAGAAAGAGAAAGGGCTTTGGAGTCAGACCTGGTGGGAACCCCAATCCCCTTTACCAGGACGGTAATTTTGAGGAAGATATGAAAAGATGATTTGAAGTAAAGCATGGTAACTTGTTGCAAGTGACAAGCTGTGGAACCTTGGAGAATTTACTTAGCCTTGCTATACTTTACTTTCTACCTCTGCAAAATGGGACTAACAGGAATGTTGTAAATGTTGGATGACTTAATAGAGCTCAAGTTTTTAGAGCACTGCCTGGTAGAGAGTGAATGTTCTAGGAAGGTTAGGTACTGTCATAATTATTATCATTACTGTGATTTATACTATTCTTGAAAAAAATATTTCCCCCCTCTTCTATTATTAGCAAACAATTCTAAAGAGGAAGAGGAATTTGTGCTTATAGAGTCTCAGGGAGAAAACGGAAAGAATTAAAAATAATACTTCCTAACCAAGTCTGTTTGAGCCTAGAGGTTTAAAATTATTAAAATTTCCATGAAACAATATAATAAAATTGTATCTATCGCTCTTACTTACATCTAAACTGAATAATAAATTATCCCAAGGTGGTGTGGTTTAAAACAATGCACATTTCTTTTTTTTAAATTTAAATTCAATTTAGTTAACATATAGTGTATTATTCGTTTCAGGGGTAAAATTTAGTGATTCATCAGTTGCCTCTAACACCCAGTGCTCATTACTTCAAGTGCCTTCCATAATGCCCATCACCCACTTACACCATCTCCCTTCCTTAATGCCCATCACCCACTTACCCACCTCCCCTCCAGCAACCCTCCGTTTGTTTCCTAGAGTCAGGAGTTTCTTATGGTTTGCCTCCCTCTCTGTTTTCATCATATTTTATGGTTCTCTCCCTTCCCCTACGTTCATGAAACAAAACAACACACGCTTCTTCTTTAACAGACTGTGAGTCAGAATCTGAGCACAGCCTGGCTGGATCCCCTACTTCACAGTCTCTCCTAAGACTTATGAGAGGTGGGGGCGCCCGGGGGGCTCCGTGGGTTAAAGCCTC